ACGGGGTGCACCGGCCATGGGGGGGACGGGCGGGGAACCTGGCCATGGGGGGCATCCACCATGGGATGGCCAGTCATGGGGTGCACCAGTTACAGGGTGCACCGGCCATGGGGGGGGGCGGGCAGGGAACCCGGCCATGGCGGGGACCCGCCATGGGATGGCCAGCCATGGGGTGGACCAGCCATGGGATGGCCAGCCACGGGGTGCCCTGCTGCTGCTGGACGGGCGAGCCCGCTCTGGAGCACACGGGCAGTGTGGTGCCCCGGCCACGTGCCTGTGAACAGTGCACTCTCTCTCGCGTAGGTTTGAGATGACAAATCGTCAGGTGGGCAGAAACGGAATTTGCACATGCCTAGACACGCAAAGCCACCGGCCAGGCAAGCGTGGCTTCCCACACAGCCCGGCAGACCGGGGCACACTCACTGGGCCTGCGGGGCAGCGGCCGTGGTGGTACTGAGCCACGGCTGGGCCTGTGGAGGCGGCCTTACACCCCAGCCAGTCTTCCTCCCTCGGGCTGAGCATCCACCTCTGGCTGACTCAGCTGGGAGGGTGCGTGGGTGCGTGGGTGCGCGTGTGTGCACGCACATGCCAGTACCAGGGCTTGAACTCAGGGCCTCACTTTCTCGCTTGGTTTTGCTCCAGGCAGGCGCTCTACCACTTGAGCCACACCTCTACTTTTCAGCCTTTTGCCGGATGGTGGGAGGTTGAGTCCCCACGGACTTTCCTTGCCGGGCTGGCTTTGAACGGCGATCCTCCGATCTCAGCCTCCCCTGAGTAGCTGGGATGACGGGTGTGAGCCACGGGGCGCCGGGCCAGTTATGTCCCTTTTCTAGAAGCTTGAAACACCCCCGGCTGAAGCCCGGATGCCAAAGGCCTGGGCGGTGCCTCCCAAGCGGGGCGAGATTGCCCCACGGCGTCCCCGCAAACGCCTGGCCGCCACGGATCAATTCTGTCACACGTGAATCCACGTGCGCAGAAGAAATGAGCATCCTGATTTTAATGTTAGAGAAGACAGAGGACTCTGCACGCCCCCCGCCCCCCCGGCCGCCCCAGCCAATGGTTTGCCAGCTCTAAGGGCATGCTGCCGGGGGCGGGCTTTGTGCAGGAGAGCCGCCCACAGCCCTGGCCAGACAGCCTGGCTGCTGCAGGCTCTGGCCGGGCTCCATCCGGCCCCGAGACAGAACGGGTGGACCAGCCGCACGCCGCCAGGGGTAATGGGCCTGGCCTGGTTTTCTAGGAGGCAGGGGAGGGACAGAGGGAGGGAGGGAGGGAGGGAGGGGGG